ATCACTTAATTTTCTGTACTTCAATGTCCTCATCTGTCCTGCAGTGCCTGAGAAAAGAGGAATGTGATTGGCTCAGCTGTTTCTATGACAACCAATTCTATAGCCATCCCACTTTTAAGTACCAAGTTCAAAATCTGTCAACTGCTGTTAACCACTCAGCCTCTCAGGAAACCTGAAACTAGACAGCACCATGGACACTCCTACTGCTTCCCTTCTCTCTGCATCAAGACCAGGGCTCAACAAACTTTCCGTAAAGGGCCACACAAAAATACTGTTGCTTTTGCAGGCCATGTGGTCTCTGTTGCCAGAGCTCAACTCTACCATTGAAGAAGCCATGGATAATATGCACATGAATGACCACAGCTATTAAACTTGTTATTCATGTACTGAAATTTGAGTTTCATATAATTTTCATATGTCTTGATTTTTTTCCCCAATCATTAAAAAATGTAAAACTCATGCTAACTCCACGGCTATAGAAAACAGGTGGCAGGTTGGATTTCCCTGATGATCTAGACCTTTCTGTGTGATGTTACTCTGATGCCTGGTTTAGCAGTTGGAAAGCAGCATTGACAGTTGAGTAGACTCTCTGAAAAAAGGTTCCGCAGAATCAGCTGGATGACTTCTCTACCTTTTATCTTTTTTCTTCTTGCCTGCAATTTTAACTTACAAATAATTTGAAATTAGAAGAACTGGGATAGCAAGGATGGTGAAACTCACTATTTAATCATAACAGTGATGACTAATTAAAAACATGTTTTTACCTCTTTAAAAAAATTACATTACAGACTTCTCATTACAGAGACAATTTCTCTAACAATTTTACCCAACATGCAATTCTACTTCTCCCCTCCATTCTCCTGACTCAAAATGTGTTGCCTGAATGAATAAAATGCAAAGAGAAGCAGTGAATCATCAGTTGTCATGGACAAGAATGGATTTTTTAAAACTACTAACGGTAGTAAATATCTGTCTGGGGATGGGGAGACACCTCTTATCAACCAGGGTACCTGAACGAAACATATTTGTATACCTAACTCTTAATTGTACCCCACATATCATAATAAAAAATATTGCTTAATTAAAAATAAAATAAATAAAAAATAAAACTACTAAAAAGAGTAATAATACTGGGTTTTAAAAGGCTAGGAAGAAATATATACTCTTGGTGGTTATTTAAATTAGTATAATACTTTGGAAGGCTGTTTGATGAAATTTACCAAAGGTTAAAATGTAACTTTTCTTTTTTTGAGTTGGAGTCTCACTCTGTCACCCAGACGAGTGAAGTGGCCGCTCCCGGCCACTGCAGCCTCGACCTGCTGGACTCCGGCGATCCCTCCGCCTCAGCCTTCCAAGTAGCTGAAACTATAGGTGTGCTTTACCACACTCGGCTAATTTTTGATTTATTGTAGAGATGAGGTCTCGCCAAGTTGCCCAGGCGGGTCTTGAACCCGTGGACTCAGGCAATCCACTCACCTCAGCCTCCCAAAGTGCGGGATTACAGGCTGAGCCACCGAGCCCAGCTAAAATGTAACTTTTTGACCTAACATTTATGCTTCTAGTAATTTATCTTAAGAAGATAATCAGAGGAGTCAGCACACATGTATATACAAGGAGTTTTATACTTTGAAGAATTACTTATAATCATGAAAAGGTTAAAACTATTTAAATGTCCATCACAGGGCCTGGTTAAATAAATCTTGAATTATATACAATGGAGTTCTAGGTAGACATAAGAAACAATGATGTAGATAAGTAGTCGACATAGATATGTCCACAACATATTGAAAGAAAAAAGCACATTACAAAACTCCATAAATTATTTGAGCTCAACTGCATAAATTTCTATGTACAGTGTTTTGTATATTTACCAATGTGAGTGAGAAACAGAAGAAAAACAAAGAGGCAGAGATACAGAGTTAAAAGAATGTTCAAGAAGATTTTCACAGTGATTATACCTGTATGGTAGGAGTTTAATCATTTTTACTTTCTTGTATATCTTGTGTATCTTTTTCTGTATTGTTTCTATTGGTTTGCAGTAAACATGTACATTAGAACTAGATCGTACAACACCAAGAGTGACACCTAATGTAAACTATGGGCCGTGGATGATAATGGTGTATCAATACAGGTCCATGAACTGTAGCAAACACACCACTCTGGAGTGGGACACTGACAGTGGAGCAGCCATGTATGAGGAGGAGGAATGGGCAAATGGGAACTATCTGTACCTTCTGCTCCATTTTACTGGGAACCTAAAACTGCTCTAAAAAATTAAGTCTATTTTTTAAAAACAACAGACTTACTAAAATAATTCTTATTCAAACAATTCAAAAGTGTTGTTCATTAAAGGCAACTTGAGTCCCATAAAATTGAACCTGAGAAGCTTTTATCAGAGGTGGTTTTAAAATACTGCAGATTGCTGGGCATGTGCAGGGATAGTCAAGGGAAGTATTACATGAAGTCCTGTGCTTCAGTTAGCTGCCAGCAACCGCCCCCCCCCACGAGAAACGGATCAAAGAACGCTCTCCTCTTGTGAGAACCTGACTATTCTGTGCATTCACCCTGAGGATACTCTACTGTTTCTCTCCTGTTATTTCTGTTTTAATAGACTGTTTTCAGTGAAAGCTTAGAGGACTTAAGACTGGGTTAGATAATCAAGGGCTCAAGAAAAGCAATTTAACACTTTGTCTTAGATTAGCTTTAAAATGGAGTTCTGGCTGGGGTCTAAGACCCTGTTGCTAAAAGATAAGCTTGTCTTAGGGGCTTTGATGGAAGAACAAATGCCAAGATGAGATTCTGATGATAGCTGTTTCTGTTACACTAATAAGGGGCATTCTGATGCAAGTCTGAGGATAAGACCAAGGTTGGAATAAATTAATGGGAAAATTTTCATTTTTTCTTTGTATGAAATATGTACATTATAATTTATACTTCCTATATTTTGTCATATGCGTACTTATAGAGATATGTCATATCTAATGACTTTTACTTGAAAAGAACAAAAAGACTTAGAGGTTTCTATATCAAATATACATCTTATAGTAAGAACCACTTCAATGAGTTTAGATTTTTTTTTTTTAATCGCAGGAAGGAAAAGTCAGCCTTAATAAGTACTAAATCTTTAAAGCTGACTAAAAAGAACTAGCAATATCATAAGCATCTGCAAACTGTAGCAGTACAGTATATAAAAATATCTTAAATTAATAATGGGGTGTTAACAAGTTTATAATGGAAATAGACTCCCTAGTATGCCATGGTTCCAAATGACTACTTATCAGCAACTACTATCAAGTCAAATTATGTATGAATCTCAGTGCAAATGAAGCTTAAGTTATAAAAAGCACCAGTAATAATTTATATAACATGCCAAACAATATCAAATTGCTACACTGGATAACACAGGTACTATTAACTTAAGTTTAAATTAATGGCATTTATTCAAGATTAGCGTTATTCACATAAAACTAGAGTATGTATTTTCTGGTTTCTTGACATTAGCCTCACTAAAATCAGTACTAACCTGGTAAGCAAATGTGCTTATTTCTCTTGGGAAACATCTAAATTTAAAACGTAGTTTATTTGTAAACATAATGTTGTAGTCAAGACATTTTAAATCATGCAGACATTGTCTTTAGTAATTAACATCATTTTTTTGGTTGGGCAGTTTTCCTACAAATACAGAGCTCTTACCTCAAAAGTGGTGAAATAACATAATGATTCTCATGGTAAATACTCATTTCCTAACCACCCTCCTCCCCCAGTCAGAAGAAGCATTATCCCGGATTCATAAGAAACAAAGAAACTCAACATTACTGGGAAACACTGCCACATTTTCCAAGTTAAGAAATACCATTTACAACACTGAGAAAAATAGCAGTATACCTCAGCCATACAAATGCCACAGAACTTCTTGATGGAAAGTGTCCACACACTTCCCAGCCATATTTTATTTTTAGGCCTTTATATGTTAACGTGTGAAAAACAGATGTGATTCAATTTCAGGCAATCTGATAGGAATGCTTTTCCTCACCAACCAAAAATTTAACTTGCATTAAAAAGGAGTCACACCATGGAGTTCCTTTAAGAACTTAAGAGGCTTCCGGAGGGCACTGACTTGGACCAAATTCAACATAAATGCTGAATTCCCATACAATACTCCAGGGAACAACAACAGCAAAACAACAACAGATTTTTATCTTCACAACTATCCTAATGAAATATTTTATATTTTTCCTATTTTTTAAATTGAAGATACTCTAGCCCAGAGGTCACGCACCCTGCTCAAAGTCACAAAGCTACAGAAGGATCAGAACCCAAGCAATGCAGTGGAAATCTTCTCATTCGCCTCCCCATGAGGCAGGAGAGATGCTTTCTAGCTCTGCATCCACAGGCCTCTCAAGCGGGGCCCCACAGAGGACAGCTCATCTCTGTTTCTCTTCTCAAAAGAATATGCTAATACTCTGCTCTGACCTCCAGGATAGTTGTGAGAACATGAAATTAACAGAATGAAAAACTTTTGAAAAATCAAAAGCTCTATATAAATGTTATATGTACTAAATATATCCAACTCTGAATATCACAGCCACACAGAAATTACTTTCTAAAATACAGAGAAGAACCTAAGGGTGTTTTCTTTGTAGCCACCCTGGAGTGTCTTTTATGGTGTTTATCTGGAAGCCTGTAAAATGACAGACCATTGCACAGGAAGTCAAGGTCTTAGTTACAAAGCAAAACACCCTGGACAAGGCAATATAAAAAATGGATTTGACATTTATTGTTGAGGACAGCCAAGCAGTTTCAAAATACAAAAGCATATATAAATAACAGCCTGTATCCAAGGAAACACGTTTTCTCTTTAATAAAAATATTCTTGACTTTAAAGAACACATTAAATTGATTGTTTTAATTTCAAAATGTTAAATCCTAAGAGAACAGAATAATTATTTCTTAAAAATGTATAGATCTCTAATAAACAAAGAACCAGAATTCTTTCTTACCTCCCACATGTATACATTATTCTTAACCTGAGATCGTTTTTTCTTATCACCAACAAATGGCCCAAACTTTTTGCCTTTTAAAATTGGTTTAGTGGCCCAGACACCTAGAAAATAAAACCAGTATTTTTATTATGTATTGAAGTTATTTTAAAGGTTGAAAGCATTAAAATCAATTCAGTTTCACAAAATAACTACAAGACTAGACTGCCTAAAAACAAGATAATGTTAAATCAACTGAGATAAAGTTAAATAAAGTTAAATTCAGTCCTCAGTGGGGATTTTTAATTTTCTTCTTTATACTCTTCTGCATTTTCCCGATATTTATATTGTTTTATAACTAGAAAAGAATGTTATATACAGTTTATTAATTTTTATATGTAAAAACTACATACCAAAATCACAAATACATGAATGACAAACACAACTGAAGAGAAAAAATATTGAAATAGAGTAAAGCTACAAATAATTTTTAAACTCTTCTATCTGCTTTGCTACAGATTTCAAATTGGTTCTAATGAAAATGAGCTGATTTTATAAAGCGTTAGAAATACAGTTTATGAATCAATATTCCTGAATTCATTTGTTTATACAGAAAAATCTTCCTGACAATGTAGCTGGAACAACTAGCTTTCCAGAACTTCAAATAGCCAAAAAATATGCTCATCCACGGCATTCTTAGGGTTATTTCTATTTTCTATGCACTGACCATAAAGCAAACAGATATGATGAAGCAGTCAGTAATATGGCAGGAATCTGGCCCAGGAATCAAGGGAAGAGCATCACTTTAAGACAGGTTCCCTCACTTTTTTTTTTTTTTGAGTTGGAGTCTCACTCTGTCGCTCAGACTGGAGTGCAGTAGCCGCTCCCGGCCACCGCAGCCTCGGCCTGCTGGGCTCCGGCGATCCTTCCGCCTCAGCCTTCCGAGTCGCCGGAATTACAGGCATGCGCCACCACGCCCGGCTGATTTTTTTATTTATTATAGAGATGAAGTCTCGCTGCCCAGGCGGGTCTCGAACCCGCGGGCTCAGGCAATCCACTCACCTCAGCCTCCCAAAGGCGCGGGATTACAGGCTGAGCCACCGAGCCCGGCTGGTTCCCTCACTTTTGATCTCAGGTTCCTCATGTACAGAATGGGAGGTAGAGGCTGGGCCAGTCCTGAGCTAGGATAGACACAGTCCACTTTCTGTAATTCTGCCATGAAGTACATTTAATAACACTGCTAACAATCAGCTTAGCTATCAACCACTTTCATTTGAATGATATACTATAAATACTCAAATTGCTCACTGAATAAGTTTTGAATGTAAATTTTTAAAAGTCTTTATTAAAAATTTATTCATGCCATTTATATACAATAAACTAGACTATCAGAAGTACATCTTAAAAAAAAGAGTATAAATGTGATTTATTCCAAGACTGTATTTTGACTAAATTTTTATCATTTATTTCCACAGCGTTCTGTCTCAAGATTAGGCCACAAAAAGACCAAACACACACAAGTTTGGTTTGTATTCAATAAGAAGCCCCTGCCAGAAGCATTCCAATACATTCAGGGCGTGTCGTTCATTCAAATATCTATTGAGGATGCGTGAAGTACCAGACATACAGATAAATAAAAAATGAAAGCGCTCACAAGCAATGACAGGGACAGATGTAAAAGCAATTCCAAAATAACGAAGCATATATAACAGCACAATCACACTCAAGTCATGGTGAAGTCAAAGAGGAGGCAACACCACACTGTGGGGAATACTGGGCAGTCACCAAGGATGGGGCGTGGTTGTTGCTTTATTTTTATCATCTTTGTGCAGAAACGCCACATAATAAAGTCCAGCATAAATCTGTTGCTTTTCTGGAGGGCTCCCTACTCCATATGCCCCCAGAGGGGGTGTCCCCGCCGCCAGCTCTTGGTTGCCCAGCTTGTTCTGGGACCTGAGGAGTACTCACCAATCCGGGTCTTATCAACAGCAGATGGGAAAAGCCTCACTTCCTCGGGAAGTCCTCGCAGCACATGTTCAGGGACCTCGGCCAGGGTCTCGGTGGCTGCCACAGGCTCAGTAGCGTTCTACAAGTCAAGAAATAGAAGGATAATAGCAAAAGAAAAAAATCCAAGTCATGTTTTGTTTTGTTTTCTGGTTCAGTAAGCAAATATGCAAAAATGTAACTGAAACCTGAAGCTGGCAAGCCAGACCAAAACCATGATGTCAAGCATTTCAGGAGTTGCTTTGATGCTTGTCTGCAAGGGTCCACAGGAAGCCACTGCAACTTTCAAGCATGTCTATGTTAATCTATTTTGTTCCAGCCACCTGTAGCCATTTCCAAAATATGAAAATCTCTGGCACCATACTGCTTTAAATTCAAATAGAACCTGGCAGCAAAATACAGCTTAAGCTCACTTTTAAATTAAAAGCTACCATCAGCACATTAGCACATTTAAAAAACAGATATCAATACTCCCCTCTTCACTGGCATATACCATGAAGGCCACATTGGTCAGCTGACTCTGCTCCATCCACGCATCCCTCCAGCAACAACCCCCAACTCAACCAGGGCTTGAGTATTCCACCCATGAACACTATATTGTGGTCCCTCAATGGAAATAACACCTTTCCAGGAAAGGTAATTTACCACTGCATACCAAGTCACTAAATAGCAAAGTAACCACAATATCACAAAGTTGCTAAGAAAGAGAGAATTTTATACAATTACTTATCAAAGTTTAGGCTGGAATTCATTGTAATCTTAAGAAATAAGAGTGCTATTAGATGTGTTCATAAGGAAGGGAAAGATTTGAGCCAACTGGTAGCATATGACCGTTATTTTTAAAATAACTTTCAGATCAAAGGAACATCAAGTGACTAGTAACTAGTACCTCATATACCCTGATCTGATGCGTATATCAAGCCTAAATGATGTGTGTATCATGACACTGCTAACAATGATAAGTTTTGTAGTATGAGTCTGTTTCATTTCTCTGCAAAGGGAAACATTTCTCAAGGACTTTTAAAGAAATCTACATAGGCAAAAAGCAAACTCCAAGCAAAAAAAGATTAATTTTTCCCACAACCACGAAGCTTTTGTAGTTTTCAAGAATATTATGTACCAAGAAAAGAATATCATCCAAACTGGTGTACTTTCAGCATTTCAATTTTTGGTTTTTTAAATATCAATAGGCTGCTTCAAGAGAAATAAAACCCACAGTCATAACAAACACAGTCATCTCCTCTCTGGCCAGTTTCGAGCTGGAGGGCCAAGAGAGGGCACGGGAGAGACGGGTTCCCTCTCTCTCACAGGGCCCAGCCAACAGTGTCCACACCTCAGAAGCACAACCCTCGGCTCCTGCTGGATTTGCTACCTCTGTCTCAACAATATCCCCAAGATGCTTTCCAAAACATGCAAGTATCAAATTTGCCCCAGAAAATGTTCTTACGATACTTTTAATTAACTAAAGTGTGAATAAGCACAGACATTTTTCACTTCTAAATATAGTATCTCCATTTTTAGAATTTTAATCTATAAGCTGAATTTTTGGAAAAGTGAACTTTTTTCCCAAGAGGGGAAAGGTATTAAATTGGTATGCATCCTAGTTTACATACCGATTATAACACTGATAAGCAAATATGATAAATTAACAAATATAGGCCAGCGTTATGAGTCCTATCTGCACCGGCCACTCAGCAAAATAAGGGGAGTTTTCTCCTGTCTCGGTTGGAACACAGGCAAAGGCCTGGCACCATTTAACTTCCCCAGGAGCACAGCACGTTGAAAAGACAGTAATACTAATCATGACATTCTATTTACTAAGGATTTCTTCCAAGCAGGGCACCATGCTAACCATTTTACATGATGGACAGAATCTATTCCAAACAGCTCGAGAGGCAGGTACTATCAGTATCTCCCCACACACACAACGCAGGAAACAGGCAAACTCTAGAGCTTAAGCTTGTCACCACTGTCCGGTTTCCAGTTAAGATTCTGCTAGAATATAATCTAAGAACCTCTGCCCAAAAACTTCCAGACTTCCATGGAAATATCAGCAGGAGAGGGTGCGTAGGGCAGCAACGGTCATTCCCACAGGAAACCTGTAACCTGAGTGTAAATTGGAGACCACATGTATTAAAACTTCTGAAACACCAAGAATATAAAGGCCTCGGCAGAGCTGCTATGGGAAAAAGAAATAAGAAAAACTTCCCATGCACTTGTTTACCTGCTTTAGGTCAACCCATTCTTTTTAATTGGGATTCCTTTCCCTAGCAGAGGAAAACTTTTTTCTGTTATTGCAGTATCCTTCACACTATAACAGGACCCAACCAAAACAGGAAGACCTCAATTCACAGTGACCCAATCCAGATGCTAGGCAGACCCAAGGCCCTCCCCGCACCTCTCCAGTTGCTAGAATCTCCACTGCAGTGGCTATAGCTGCAAATGGCCTGGAACATTTCTAGAAAATCAATGATTCAAGTTGCCTAAATAGAATCATCCTCTCCTCTTCTCATTTCTCATTCATAGCTCTTATCACAATTTAAAATAATTATTTATATAACTATGTGTTTAATATATGCCTCCCGTGACACTGCAGTGCAGACAGATGATGACTAATATATTCAATGTCGTATTCCCAATGCTTAGCAGTAGATTTGAAGTGTTTGTTATCACTTAAATACTTGAATGAGTGCATGACTCTTTGTAAACTAACTTAAAGTGCTTTTGGGGGGGAGGGATAGACATATATAAAACTAAAATATCAAGGGTCATCTATCAGGAAGTATTTCCTCCACATGTGCCTGAATTTCTTGATTTAGAGGTAGGTATTCTTCTGAACCCTTTTTTAGAAAATGTGACATGTTCTCAATTTCAAGTGACCAATTTACAAATAAACCTTTGGAACAAAAGGATTTTTACAAAAAATTCTCTCCCCCACACACTCAGAAACTGGCATCTCTTTTATTATATGTATCCTGACAGTATTAAATGTGATATCATACTCTCAACAGGGTCACCTTGGTTCTTTCCCAGATTTATCTACTCAATTAATTTATTAAAATATTTCTGAGGCCTTACCATGGCCCAGGCAATGTTCTAGGCATCACATTTGCCTCCATAAAGCATTACGCTGATGGGGAAGACAGACAAAATCAAACAAATACATGCAATGACACTCTAGAAAAATCAAGAATAAAAAAACCAGACACAGTAATGGAGATGAGGGCTCATGATTCCCTAGACTGTTTTTGCAATTTCTTGTGAGTCTATAATTATTTCAAAATAAAAATATTTAAAACTTTGTTTTACCGGCCTAGGCGATATAGCGAGACCTTGTCTCTACACAAAACCAAAAAAAATTAGCCAGGCATGGTGGCACACACCTATAGTCTCAGCTACTCAGGAGACTGAAGTGGAAGGACTTCCTGAGCCCAGGAGGTCGAGGCTGCTCTGAGCTGTGACAGTGCCACTGCACTCCAGCCTGAGCAACAGAGACCCTGACTCCAAACAAACAAACAAACAAAAAAATCCACTTTGCTTTAATTTCTTTTTTGTTGTTGTTAGTCTTTTTTTTCCTTTTAATTTTTTTATTTTAAAGATGTAGGGTACAATTCAGGGTGAGGTATACAAATGTTCATTACGCAGGTAACCTTGTTGATGAAGTATGCCCCCCCTCAGCAGATTCTCAACTACTGCCAATCCCACCTCTTTGTTTAAATTTCTAACATAGTAACCATCCATAGCTATAAAACACATCAAGAAAAATCTTGAGAACAGCGCTACACTAAGCTGCACCAACTTCAATCTTCCTCGCCTCAGGGCTGAGCAGCAGAAGATGGGGCAGATTCTTTGAGATCAAATGGACAAGAGTGTGGTGATCAGAGTAGAAGGAGAGGGCAGAGGGCTTAATCCACACATTCCTGCCTTATCCCCCCCCTTTCCTGAGTACCACTGTAGTGGCCTGCTCCCCCAAAATAGGCACAAGGTTCTTTTGCATCTGAAAGGTTTCACTGCTCATCTCAACAGAACAGCAAAATATTCTAGAATAAACTAAGATACACTGAAGTGGCTTCGGAGTATTAAACGCAAAGACTTACTGTCAGTCCCATTTGGGCTCCCACAGGAAAGAGAGTGAAAGCAGAAGAGAGTTCCTACTCTGCTTTTAAACCCCAGGGTGATGGGATAAGCCTCCAGCAAGGCCGGAAGATCACCTAAAGGGGCCAATTTGCATTTGTTTTCTAGGCCTCTGCCCCACCCAGCGGACATCTCAGCCTCCTAGAAGCTTGCCCCTACAGTCTTTCCCTGGTAGGATTTCCCCTGAGGCTGAGTTACAACACTCTCCCCCAAGCACAGGTGAGTAGATTGCCTCAGCCCGCGGGTTCGAGACCCACCCGGGAAACTTGGTGAGACCTCATCTCTACAATAAATCAAAAATTAGCCAGGTATGGTAGCGCGTGCCTGTAGTTCCAGCTACTTGAAAGGAGGCGGAAGGATCGCCGGATCCCAGCAGGTCAAGGCTGTGGTGGCCGAGAACAGGCCACTGTACTCCAGTCTGGGCGACGGAGTGAGCCCAGGGGTTCAAGACCAGGCTGGGCAACTTGGCGAGACCGCATCGCTACAATAAATCAAAAAATTAGCTGGGCGTGGTGGTGCGTGCCTGTGGTTCCAGCTACTTAGAAGGCTGAGATGGAAGGATCACCTGAGCCCAGTAGGTAGAAGTTACAGTGGCCATGAGCGTGCTACTGCACTCCAGTCTGGGCAACAGAGTGAGACTCCGACTTAAAAAAGAAAAGAACATATAAGAATAAACAAGTGTTCCATTTAAATTTATATAAGTAACTCCTTTTACACACTTTGCCTGGAGAATTATCAGAAATTATTATATCAGTTTTAAATTAGTTTTAATCCATTTAAATAAAGTACCTAGTTTCTTAAATACCAATCTGATCAAAACCAACACTGAAGAACGACAGCAGTAATGGAATCAATTAAATTCAATATTATTTAATAATAAGAACACCTCACAGCATATTCGTACTAAGATGTATGTTACTGCTACAATAATAATCACCATAGTAATTG